ATCTATATATATATACATATAATTTGCATTTTTTGTTTTAAAATGAATCCTATCCTTCCAAGAGCCGGCCTCACTACAAGATTAACTATTATAAATCTCTCCATACAAGATTCACTTAACATTCATGCATTTTTGCAATGGAAACCAATTAGTGTGAATCTGGGGTGAAAGTTGTGTGAAAAGAAAAAAACACATTGATAAATAGACCTCCTGGTGTGAATGTAAAGTTAGGGAACAGCAGAGACAAAACAACAAAGCCCAGTTCGCAACACACACACGGCCCAGCGGGCTCCTTTACATTGTTACATTCTCCATTGGAAAGATACAATGTTACAATATCGGCCACTCACAGGGAGCGCTGATCTCTTCTGACCCCTGCGGGCCGCCGTAGTTGTATTTCTCAGCGAGATCCCGGAAGTTGTAGTCCACAGCGAGATCCCGGAAGTTGTAGTCCACAGCGAGATCCCGGAAGTTGTAGTCCACAGCGAGATCCCGGAAGTTGTAGTCCACAGCGAGATCCCGGAAGTTGTAGTTCACAGTGGCATGCCGGGAGTTGTATTTCTCAGGGTTGTGTTTGGCTATGGCAGCTGACTGTTAGGTAACTTGTTTCTTCCTCCTGTGCAGATTTGTGTATATTTATCTTCATGTTCCCTCACCCCCCTCTCTGCTCCGTGTCTGCTGTGTGCTAAGCGTTGGTGGACTACAAGCCCCAGCCTGCCTTGCTGTCTATGGTGGGATTTGTAGTTCCACGTGTGTGTTGTGTGTGTCAGCTTGGTGTGTGATGGCATTAGTCTGCTGTGTTTTCTGCAGTTTGTATAGTTTCGTGTCAGGGCATGCTGGGGCTTGTGGTTCTACAAAACCTGCTGAGCCATTGGATGCATAGGGGTGATAAAGTATATTATTATTATACACCGGCCTCCTGTACCGGCCACGCTGCATAGAGAGTCACAGCAACATCAGGTGTATGGAAAGCCAGCTCATGACTCCTGTCAGTTTCTTGCCATCTGTGCCCCTTTGGGGAGTTTCCCATTCACTTCCTGTCCCAGAGACACAACAGGAAGTGAGAGGAAATCACTCCAAAGTGAGGGGGTGTTCCCTCTTAGTCAGGTGTCCCCATTGTAAGATTTCCCCTCTATTCCTGATGGGGTGACAACACACATTTTTTGGATCTCCCATTGATGGTCACCGACTGAAACCCGACAGAGAATCTAACCCAAAAATATAAAGTAAATGTCATCAGCACACCGAAAGTTATTCAGCGAAAGTCCATTTATTGACACATTGCCATTCAGTAACGAGCGCTTTCGGGCCTCAAGGCCTCTGAACCTGATGAAGGGGACCCCTTGAGGCCCCGAAAG